GAGGCATGTGATGTATGAATAAGGTGTGTGACCCCAAGGCATTTCTAAAAAGCAAACTCTCTCAATTCTCCCTCACGTTCCAAACCGACGCTCCCACAAGCACAATCTCGGTACCCAGAGGATAGTACGGAAGACCATTTGGTGGTGTCTGTTGATATTTTCATTGAAGAAAAGTTCTTCAAGGGTAAACAACTTTTTCCCCTGTATTTCATCTTTGAACGTTTGATTTTGTTTCTCAAAAACTCATGAACGATGATTAGCTTCCGCTCTGGGATTCACATCCCATCAGGGACCCTACTTGATGAAAGGATAGAGGCCTAGCAACTCCAACGGCGAGCAACTAGGTATGTGCTTAGAGATGGAAGCCTGTATAAAATAAGCTACTCTTTGCCGCTTTTAAAATGTTTAGCGCCAGAAGAAGTTGACTACGTCATGAGGGAGATACACGAGGGCATTTGCGGTAACCATTGTGAAGCACGATCCCTAAGCCACAAAATCGTCCGACAAGGGTATTACTAGCCGACCATGCTAAGTGATGCAACACAGTTCGCGAGAAAATGCGACAAATGTCAGCAGTTTGCAACAGTGCCTAGGCAGCCGCCAGAACCATTAACAAACATAATGAGTCCCTGACATTTTGCCCAATGAGGAATAGACCTTATAGGGCCCTTCCCAGGAAAAGGCTAGACCAAGTTTGCAGTGGTAGCAGTTGATTATTTCACCAAATGGGCCGAAGCCAAGGCCCTAGCTACAATCACCGAGAAAAAGATCACCAAATTTATTTGGAGAAGCATAATTTGGGGTACCATACTGATGGATAATATACATACATGCGCAGCGGAAGTGAGTAAGAATCGAAATAACAATCTAGATGCATAATACAACCTAGGATTAAACATGCATGATCATACATTATGATGCTTAGAGATAAGTAGAGAAAAATACAAACCTTTGTAGTTTTTCAAAAATCTTCAAATAGCTCCAATGAAGGACCACCAAGAGATCTTCCTAGCTATTCTCAAGGCTTGGAATAGAGTGGTGGGACTCTTTTTAGAGAAGGAAAAATTTAGAGAAAAGTGGAGTTAAAAAGAGTTATGTAAGCTTTTTTTTTTTTTTGAAAAAAATAGCCAAAGGTTCCAAGCCCTTTAATGTTTGAACAAATGCCTTCTTAAATAAGCAAATTACATGCAACTCTTGCATGTCAAAATTCACCAAAAACTTACAACACATATTCCACTTATGCATAACATGACTAAGTGTCAAAATGCATGTCTAAGTTCACCAAAAGCTTACAACACACATTCCACTCATGCATGGCATGGCCAAGTGTCAAAATGCATGTCTAAGTTCACCAAAAGGTTACAACACACATTCCACTTATGCATGCATGGCTAAGTGTCAAAAAGTGGATTTTTTTAGATTATTTAAATGTTCCACTCAACAAGTTAGTGGAATTTTCCACCAACTTGGTTAAAAACATTATTTTAATCTACTTTAGTCAACCTTTGACTTTCTCTGGTCAAAGTCAATTATTTGACTTTTTCCAAAACCTGATGTTTGATGAAATCCATGCCTCCGATTATGAATCCACATTCATAATTTTAATATTTAAATCCTATTTAAATATTTTGTCCAAATTTCTCAAATTGATATCATATATCAATTAATTAATCATATCTCATATGATTAACCTAATTTGTACGATTCGAATTATTCCTTCAAATTATTCCAAGTTTATTCCTATATGAGCTAGCTAGGGGACCTTATGGACCTATAGATTATGAGCTCCAACGATCCGAGATTAACCGGTTAAACTCTTTAACCTAGTTAACCAACATTCGTTAACTACCGGGTCACTCCACTAAAGCCCGTAGCTGCACTCTCTTCACTGTAGATATATTATGTCCATTTGATATAACCATGATCGGTAAGTCGACCCTTCACAAGTTGTTCGTAATTACAGCTAGGTCAAAATACCGCTTTACCCCTGTAATTACCTCTTGTTCCTTAAGTCCCACTGATTCTCTAATGAACAATGATTTGTAGTCCAACTATCAAATCAAAAATCCTCTCAAACCTTTTGATGAGGGTGGCGCCTATTATTCAAGACCTGGATTCAGCCCTTAAGAGAACAACCTTTCTACTATCCTAAAATTGGGTAGAAGTGAATTCCTTCTTGCACCCTATGTCCCTAGCTATCTACCGGGCCTTACCCCTGAAATGGGAGGCTTATTGAGCCAGCGCTGTTGAGCTGTTCTCACCCATGCAGATCTAAGGGTAATCTCGAGTAAACAGAAGTTCATAATTAGCTCAGGATTAAGATCGAGTTACCTAGGCCATCAAAGTCGAGATAGTCAGTTTCAAACAGTAAACGGTGTTATAAAGTAAAAGTGACTATCTCATGGTCCGGTCTTATGCAAACTCTTTGCACGGGACACCCCCACTCGCATGTCTTCACATGAACGAATTAGGATCACATCGTTTGTACTAGCTACAAAGTGGGCCGCATCGATAGTGTCCCCAGAATAAGGCGCCCAACCTTATTCCTATACTATAGACCATTTAGACTGTTAACTCAAACTTGATCCATATTTATGTCTCTTACATAGAGTTTGAGTCTTAGGTAACAGTCTAGGATCCTTTATTTTATTGGATTTAGATCTAGTAAGAACATTTTATTTGATCAATAACTACTTATTGAATAAAACCTTCAATAACAACTTTATTGAAAGATAAAAGTATATCTGGCATTTTCAAACTATGAGTTTCAGGACATAAAACCCAACACATACACCATTATTTGCGATAATGGAAAGCAATTCGACAACACAGCTTTTCGAGACTTTTGCATGGAGTTAGATATCAAGCACATCTGCTCTTTGCTAGTACACCCACAAGCTAATAGACAAGTCAAAGCAGTCAACAAAATCATCAAAAGAACTCTAAAAACTAAATTAGAGAAACTTAAGGGGTTATGGGCAGAAGAACTTCCCAATGCATTGTGAGCCTACAGAACAACACTATGCACATCAACTGGCGAGACGCCATTCTCATTATCGTTTGGTTTTAAGGCAGTAGTGCCAGTGGAAATTGGCCTCCCTTCCCCAAGGATAGTAGTGCACGACTACGAACAACCGAATACAAAAATCGGATCACTCGATATTACAATTCAAAGGTTAAGAAGCGTAACTTCAGAGAAGGTGATATGGTCCTCAGAAAAGTCATGCCTAATACCAAAGATCCAACCAGCGGGGTTCTCGGACCAATATGGGAGGGCCCATACAAAGTCACTAAGTAGTTCGGGTAGACACCTACACCTTGGAAGATCCGCGTGGGAAAATCCTACCCCATCCATGGCATGTTCAACACCTCAAGAGATACTACAACTAGCTTGGTGATACATTCCATTTACTTTATGAGCACTTTATGTTTTGACACTCGTTTATCTCAAACAATTGGGTTATGTTATTGTACCTAGTTCTCTACCTGAACAATTTTCATTTTAATAAAGTTTACACCATTTGACATGATACTTGAGCTCTTACGTTTGTGTGAAAACAAATTTCTCAAGTAGGGGGCATTGTGCGTAAATGAGCTGATCAAGAAACTGAGAAGGGGACAGACCAAGAAGCAGGCCAAAAAAGGCTCAACATGGTCAAAACTAAAGTAGGCAAATAAAGTCAGGATATAAATCCATCAAGCGAATGCCAAATAGGTTGGAAATCCAAAGACTTCGATACTAGCTTTACTAAAGTTAGATCCCAAGGCCGAAAATGAATGGTAAAAACCAGATGGGTGAGAAACCAGGCCCTAGAGACTTAATCATAACCAGTCAATGTGACAAAACATGAAAATCGGAAAGACTTCCAATTCATGAGACAACACAATATCGGTACACAACCAGTAGCAAAAACCAAGCGTTTTAAATCCAAAACTGGATGCAAAAGCTTTTGGTAGAAGCTCAGTGAATTAAGAACCTTAGCATTGGCTAAGAATCCAACAACTAACGACAGATGTGAACTACTTTGTAGAATAGGCCTTCACAGCAATCACGGATAACGAATACTCTCAAAACAGGAATCTTAAAATGGTCACAAACTTCATCTTCAATTTTGAGAGTGGAGGCTACTGTTATATGGAGAAATACAGTTCAAATGGCGAATGAAGATTGAACTGCATTAGAAGAAGGGTAACCAGGACCACCGACAGATAGGGCCGGCCTAAAGCACAGAGGCCGGCCCACGGAGAGCTTACCCCACCTCGGCGCCGACCCTTTCTCGGTCTTAGGTCGAGAAGGTTGGCGATGCTTTCATTTCTCTCTCTCGGTCCCCATTCCAAATATGTGATGTTCGAGCCCAAGGCCGAGCCCCATCCCTGTTCCTCTACTGATGCTGGAGGCGTCCTGGCCCATAAAGTCCACAAGTACCAAACCTAGGGTTGACATCTTATGAAACCCTAGGAGGCAAATCAACTATAAATAGGGAGAGGGTCACCCCTCGAAGGTAAGCCAAAACTACAATGCCTTACTTGTTTTGTGATTTCTCCCATAGCTAACTTAGGCATCGGAACCAGTGTGACAGAAGTCACACCGGGTTAGGATAAACCGGTCTACCAGAATCCAAGCATCAACATTTTCAAATTTCCAATTTCTCGTTCATGCTTTAAAAATTCTAAATTAAGTACTATAAAAGAATCAATTAAAATTTATTGATATAAAGTTGACATATTGTTAAATTATTATTTTATTAACATATTTTGATAATTTTTTAATTTGTTTATTATTATTATTTTTTGGGTTAAAACCGGATTGAGAATTTGAACAAATTAAGAATGAAATTTGAATACTAAAAAAAAGAAAAGTATAAAATTTCAGACAAGATTATTCCCCTTGAAAATGAACCACACCAGTGTAAAAGGGCATTTTGTTTCTACAGAGGAGTTAAGAGGAAAGTTGGGCGGCTTCAATTCAGGTGAAATTCCAATTCCAATCGTCATTTTAATTAAAAAAAGAAGAAAAAAAGTCCCATTCCAAACGTCACTCGTTTGAAAGAGAGAAACTGAAAAAATATTGAAAATCAATGGAAAGTCCAGATTTGGTACGAACTTGGATCAACTTTCCGTCAATCGAGATTGACTCTGGTAAATCCTTCCATTTCCTTCTTCAATTCCAATCCAGTAATTCTTCTCTACCAGCTCCGACAAGTCGTCAATGGCGGCTTCTTCTTCTGCTTCTTCTTCTTCTTCTAGATGGACGTATGACGTCTTTCTCAGCTTCAGAGGCGAGGATACTCGCCACACCATCACCAACCATCTTTACGAAGCTTTGAGGCGACAGGGCATCGTGGTTTTCAGGGATGACGATGAGCTTGAGAGAGGGAAGACCATTGCTGAAGCGCTAATAAGAGCGATTGAAGAATCCAGGTCCACCATTGTCGTTCTCTCCGAAAACTATGCGGATTCCAAATGGTGCTTGAGGGAGTTGGCCAAGATTGTCAAATGCAAGAACACCTTAGGTCAAACGGTTCTGGTGGTTTTCTATAAGATTAATTCGTCCGATGTGATCAGTCCCACTGGGATATTCGAGAAATTCTTTCTCGAACATGAAAGGGACTTGAAGGACAATTTGGAAGAGGTTCAGAGCTGGAGGGACGCCATGAGAGAAGTCGGAGGTCTACCTGGATGGCATGTTAACGATGAGTATGATTCCTTGTTCCCTTTTTCTCATACATAATCATAGTCATTAGTGGAACTTGAAATTGATGTTTGAGTGATCTTGGAAGCAAACAAAGTATAATCATACAGGAATAACAAACAATCGCTTGTACCATGTGTAGGACTGAAACAGAGAACGTCCGAGAAATTGTTAAGCATGCTTTCAATCATCTGCGTCCTGATTTACTTAGTAATGATGAGAATTTGGTTGGCATGAACTTGAGGTTAAGCAAGATTAATATGCTTTTGGGCATGGGGCTAGATGATGTGCGCTTTATTGGGATATGGGGAATGGGTGGAATAGGGAAGAAAACTATTGCTAGAGCTGTTTTCAAAAGTATCGCTCGTGAATTCCATGGAAGCTGCTTTCTGGAGAATGTTAGGCAAGCTTCAAAGGATGTCGGGGGATTAGTTTCATTGCAGGAGAAACTTCTTTCGGCAACTCTAATGAAAGGAAAATTTCATATTGGAGGTGGTGATGGAGCTGCAATCATAAAGGAAAATCTAAGAAATCGAAATGTTTTTATTGTTCTTCATGATGTTGATCATGTGAGCCAGGTGAAAGAGCTGGCAGGAGGAGAAGACTGGTTTCATTTCGGGAGTAGAATCRTCATTACAACTAGAGATGAAGGCTTGCTTGTTTCTCTTGGAGTTGATAGGAGATACAATGTTGAGGGTTTAAATGATGAGGAGGCTCTGCAGCTCTTCTGCCATGAAGCATTCGGGGTGAACTTTCCTAAGAAATGTTATATTGATCTTTGTGCGAAATTTATAGAATATGCTGAGGGCCTCCCATCAGCAATCAAGGCTCTCGGGTCTTCCTTGCACAGTAGAACATCAGTACAGTCGTGGGAAGATGCAGTGGCAAATTTAAATGGTTCTTTAAAGAGGGGAATATATGAAAACTTGAAAATTAGTTATGATGCACTTGAAATGCAAGAGAGAAGAATTTTTCTGGATATTGCATGTTTTCTTAAAGGAAGGAGCAAAGACCAAGTCATTGACACATTTTGGAGTTTTGGAATTGATGCTGCTGATGGGCTAAAAATTTTACAGGAGAAATCTCTCATAACTATGCCTTGTGACAAAATACAGATGCACAATTTACTCCAAAAACTAGGCCAAGAAATTTTTCGTGAGGAGTCGTTGGGAAAATGCAGTAGGTTGTGGCTTCGAAAGGATGTCGACCTTGCTTTGAGGCATGATCAGGTAAGACTTCTATAAAAAATGTAAGCAACATTACTTTTAGTTCAAGCACAAGTGTTTTAGACTTTGAGTTTACCTCCTTGCATATTCTTAGGGAGTAGATGCCATTGAAACCATAGTCTTGGACTTGAATGAGCATGGAGAGTCGTTCTTAAATGCCAAGTTCTTTTCAGCAATGACAGGTCTGAGAGTGTTTAGTGTTCATAACGCGTTCCTTTTTGGAGATCTTGAGTATCTCTCAGATGAGTTGAGGCTTCTCAATTGGCGTGGATATCCTTTAAAGTGTTTGCCGTTTCATTTCCAGCCCAGTGAACTATTAGAACTCAACTTACCGAATAGCTGCATTGAAAATCTTTGGGAAGGAATAAAGGTATGCAACATTGTCAATTAGATTGTTTCTTTTTCTTAAATGGTTAAATTGATGATACCATAACATTCTTCTAGCAACACATTATTATTATTTTATTTTTTAACAGAAGTTGGATAAATTGAAGATAATAAACCTTAGTAATTCTGAGTTCTTGTCCAAGACTCCTGATTTGTCAATGGTGCGAAATCTTGAGAAGTTGGTCTTGAATGGTTGTATAAGGCTGCAGGAGCTTCACCAATCAGTCGGGGCTCTGAAACATGTCATCTTGTTGGATCTTAAAGATTGCAAATCTCTCAAAAGCATCCGTTTTAATTTAAGTTTTGAATCTCTCAAGATCCTCGTTCTTTCTGGTTGTTCAAGACTCCAAAAATTTCCAGAGGTTGTGGAAAACATGAAACTTATGAGAGAGCTTCATTTAAATGGTACTGCAATTCGAGAATTGCATCACTCCATTGGAAAACTCACTGGCCTCGTTCTGTTAGATCTTAGAGACTGCAAAAACCTTCTTACACTTCCAAACTCGATTGGTTACTTGACGTCCCTCAAAACTCTCACATTGGGCGGCTGCTCAAAGCTGGATCAGATTCCAGAGAGCTTGGGAAACGTTTCCTGTTTAAAGAAGCTTGACGTGAGTGGTACTTCAGTTAGTTATGCCCCGTTGTCTCTACGACTTTTGACGAACCTCGAAATATTCGATTGCAAAGGCCTGTCCCGCAAATTCTGCCATTCATTGTTCCCATTTTGGAGTACGCCAAGGAATAACAACTCACATTCATTTGGTTTGAAGTTGATAACTTGCTTATCCAATTTTTCTTCGGTAAAGGTTCTGATTTTTAGTGATTGCAAGCTGCTGGATGGTGACATACCCAACAACCTCAGCTGCTTATCTTCATTGCAGTTTTTGGATCTAAGCAGGAACCTTTTCACCAACCTGCCTGACAGTTTGTGTCAGATTATAGATCTCAGATGCCTTGTTGTGGACAACTGCAGTAAGCTCAGGTCATTACCGAAGCTCCCGCTTGGTTTGCGTTATGTACTCGCAAGGGATTGTGTGTCATTGAAAGAACACTATAACCAAGAAGATCACCGGCCTGTAAGCGAAAAAGACGTTATTGTTCTTAGTTATAGCACATCAACTGGACACCAGAATTCCAAAATGCCTCAGTTAATGCTGTCAAGTATATATACGGCTTGGGAGAATGGGGGTGAAGATAGTATGAGGTTTGTTTTGCTTCTCACTTGCCAAGATATCCATTAAGAAACATTTTTATCTTTCGGCTCTATCTTAGAACCTAATTTTTTCTTCCTTGGTTTCTCTGAAATCTGTTTTGCAGGTGCTAAACAAAACAACCGAAAGCTTTCTATCTTCTCAATCAACAGCTCATGTTATGATTTCATTTAAAGGTTGGTAAATTTGCTCTTCATTCACAATCAATTGTCTTTTATGTTAAGAAGTATTAGCAATATAAGAAGTGAATTTTAAACGAATAGCTAACGAGTAAAATAATGGCAAAAATAGTTAAGAATATATCTTGATAGAGTAGGTCAACGATTAACAACAAAAAACCATTTTCATTTAAACAAATGGAAGAGTATAACAAAATACCTTATATAGAAAAACACAGGTCAAAGGAATCAGGGAGCCATAGAAAAATACAAGAACAAGCTCCAATTATTTAGAAAAAAAAAAGGGAGACCTTTAAAACACTTAGAACCAAAAGCTCAAAGAAAGAAGACATTCATGCGAGCCGCACTCCACAAGTTGACCCCCTCAACACTAAAATACCCCTTCGTTTCTTTCTAACCAGATGTTCCAAATAATGGCAGAAAAACTGGACATAGAGACAAACAAAGTTTCCTGCGGGGCCAGGTTCCTCAACCCCATGAATAACAAAATCTCTATTTAAATAGGGTGAGGGTCAGGGAAATTTTGTACCAAGATGAAAAGATGAAAGGAAACAACTACAATGATCTATTTTTTATATTTTAAATTTGTTTTCGGGTCGTCAAATGGCAAAAAATTTAGTTTGAACCAGTTGAAAAAAATTATAACTTTTGCATGATTTTTCTTTTTCAAGTCAAACTAGAAATAACATATACGAAGTTGTTAAGCTGCCATTTATCTCGGTGGCTAGATGAATGGTTTGACAAACAACACTAGGTAAACTGTAAACTTGAAATCTTATTTTACTGGATCTACCCTAACTCATCACAAATTAAATAAAAATGCAACAAAACACAACAAATCCATCATGTTCAATGAAATCCAAAACAGAAATTCAATTAAATTTACAAACATCCATAATTTCTTGCACCCAAATCCCTTGCAGACAGAAAACCGATGGTTCTTTACATCAAAATTAAGATCTCATAATTTAAAAATTAACAAACTCATAAACCTTTTGAATTCCTCTCTCAGTTCGTCATCTTTCATCACAACACAATCACATTTGAAAACATAAATTGACAGAAAGCCCTCTGTTTGGAGGATAGAAACTGAACGAATTACTTGAAATTTTGAAAAGCAAACGGAAACATACTTTGTTGGCCCTTTTCTCTTCATAAGCACATTTCCAAGATTATCTACAAAGTGAGAGAGAGTGCTTGTTATTGAGGTGAATGATTGAACTTAACAGATGGGGGGCATAGCCTCCAACTTGAGATGAAACCCACTACCCAACTTACTTATTTGGCAGACAATTTCACAACACATCACCCATGTGAATGCCTATTCATCTTGAGAGAGACCACATTATCAATCCTTTTTTTTTTCCTTCTTTTTGAATAAAGACAACATTATCAATCTGTYAAGTCTCATTAACTGAGAATTGGACATGGACTGGGACCTAAAATGAAAATTTTGAAAGTTCAGGGGACCACAATGGAAAAAAAAACTCAAAATTTAGGGACCAAAATAGGATTTAAATCTAAAAGAAAAAACTGACTCTAAGAATAAAATATGTAATTACTTATTGCAGAATTTTATGATTTAAAGAAGAATGTCATCAATCTATTAAGTCATTAGACATTAACCAAGTATCAAGTGCAAGGACCAAAATGGATATTTTTTGATAGTTCAAGAACTACAACAAATATTTTGAAAGTTTACGGACCAAAATGAAAAAAAACTCTAAAATTTAGGGACCAAAATAGGATTTAAATCTAATAGAAAAAACTGACTCTAAAAAGAAAATATGTAATTTCTTAGTGCAAAAGTTTATGATTTAAAAAGGAATGAAGAAGTAATATCTGCATAGAAACTAAACTGCAAAAAATATTAATTAAAATACATTTACCTATTTTCCTGGCATGCTGATCTTCAGTAAAGAAAAACTAGATGGGTCCCTGGCGTAAGTTTTTTCGACGACTTCTCTGCAATATCGTATCAAAGAAATCTTCTTCCACTTGACCAAGACTCTTCAAAGTTTCCCTCCATACAATCAAGTCTTTCTTATGCAAAAAGGATCCAATGGTTCTCAAAGGCAGTGGAAGTCTTCCAACCTTTTCGACAATCTCATTACAAAGATGATTCTTATCATTATCAGGAAGGCCATCTTTAAATGCATGCTTGCAGAAGAGCGAGTAGGCACTTTCATGAGAAAGTAAGTCCACGTTGTATTCTTGCAGTTGCATTTTATCTTTGTAATTAGGTTGATGGAGAACATCTCTGTTTCTACTTGTAATAATAACTCTACTCCCTGGTCCAAACCAATCTGGACTTCCAGCTAACTTTTCGATTTGCCTTTTTTCGTCAACTCCATCAAGAACAAGAAGAACCTTTCTACTACTCATGTGATCCTTGATCATTTGGGCTCCATAATCCTCATCCCAAATTTTAATTTCTTTGGATAGAAGTTGAGAAAGCATTTGATGTTGAAGTGAGACTAAATTATTTTGCTTTGAAAGGTGAAGAAAACAACTATTCTGAAATTTGTTTGCAATTGTATCGTAAACAACTTCAGCAATGCTTGTCTTACCAATACCATCTATTCCAAAAATCCCTACAAGGAGTATGTTGTTGGATCTTTCTAAAGCTAGAAGATTACACACTTTCTCCAACTGAATCTCCATTCCAACTAAAGTTTTGCTGGAAGCTACTAACTCAGAACACTGCTTTCCCATATTATTGACGACATCTACTTCAGGGCTGCATGATTAAAGTATTTCAAAGTTAAAATTGTCAATATTGGGATATGCAACCAAGTGATTTTCTAAGTATCAGATTCAATTAAATATAGCATTATAAATAGAAGCATCGAAAGGAGTCATTTATGCGTGTTTTCTACAAGTTCAATGTATATTGTGTACCCCACCTGTAGGCTATGAGTTCGACTTCTTTTAAGAATTCGTCTAGTTCTGTCGTCACATAACTGGGAAAAGATGATGATGTGTTTGCTGAGGAACCTGAAAATGAAATAAGATAAATAAGGCCAAGGAATTGAAATCATAGATGAAAAAAAGACACTTTTAGTTCCTATAGTTTCATTGAAGTATCAATTTAGATGTTGTAATCCCACGGTAACAAGTTAGCTCCTTAACTTTAGTGGGTAACAATTTAGTCCTTAGTCCCTACCTTGAAAAATCTCATCAAAATTAATTAAGTGTCGAATTTTATTATTTACCATTTAGTGTGTAGTTTATACACAAATTTGGTCCCTCGTCATTTTATCAATCTAAATATATTAAAAACCTTATTAAATCTTAAAAACATTTTTCTCATAGTTTTTTTTTAAAAGCTCTTTTTTTTCCCGTCTGTTAGCAGATTTCGCTCATCAAGTTCTTGTTTATTCTGCAAGGACTAAATTGTTATAAATTTAAAACTTCAGGGACTAAATCATTATTTCAAGGACAAGGATGAAAAGTAATTTTTAACCTTTTTTTTACCTTCAACAAGTCAGGAAAACAAARAAGTAAAGCATGAAGGATAGACGTTGCCTTGAGAATTTCTCAACATGTCCAAGGACTTCTCTCCTCCCACATACTGTAAACTTGCTGGAAGCGTTGGTAATTTCTGAAGCTTATTGCAATCATTTAAGTACAATGCTTTTAGGTTAATGAGATGGTTGAGGCTCTTTGGGAGCTCTACAAACTGATTGCTGCTAAGATCTAGAATTTCTAATGAAGAAAAGCAGTGAAGGTCATTGGGAATGCTTTCATCCAAAAGACTGCAGTCACTTAGATTTAGATCTCTAAGTGACCCAAAATCTCTCAAACCTCTCAAAGAGTGTCGAAGGTCGTTGGAAATACTTTCATCCAAAAGATTACAGTCGCTTAGATTTAGATCTCTGGATGATCCAAAATCTCTAGAAAAATCAGTGAAAGAGTGCATGAGGTCGTTGGAAATACTTTCATCCAAAAGATTACAGTCACTTGGATTTGGATCTCTGGGTGACCCAAAATCTCTCGAAAAATCAGTCAAAGAGTGCATGAAGTCATTGGGAATACTTTCACCCAAAAGATCATGGTCACTTAGATTTAGATCTCTGGGGGACCCAAAATCTCTCGAAAAACCAGTCAAAGAGTGCCTGAAGTCGTTGGGAATCCTTTCGTCCAAAAGATTACAATCATTTGGATTTAGATGATCTCTGGGTGACTCAAAATCTCTCGAAAAACCAGTCAAACCAGTTGAAGAGTGCAAGAAGTCATTAGGAATACTTTCACTGAAAAGATTACAGTCACTTAGATTTAGATTTAAGAGTGACCCAAAATCTCTCGATAAACCAGTCAAAGAGTGCCAAGCTATTTAGCCCTTCACAGTTTAAAATTCTAAGATTCCGTAAAGAAAGAATGGCATGTGGTGCCTGGCTTATAGATGTTCTCCCAATGTCAAGCTCCTCAAGAGACTCTACATCCCCCAAATTTGGTGGAATTTCCTTAAGCTCTTTGCAGCCATTCAAAATCAGAGTCTTAAGATTACTCAAACTACCTATTTCGCTTGGAAGACTTGAAAGTCCAGTACAATTCCTTAGGTTCAATAAAACCAAGCTAGTTAGATGCCTAATTGAGAGAGGAAGTTCATTAATGATAGTTCCTTCAAGGTGAAGTTCAGTCAAACGATCCATAGGCTCTCCAACCTCTGGAAAACACTCAAGACCTGAGTTAGAAAGCATTAAAGTTTTGAGACTTTTGAAATTGATATAATTGGACGAAAAGCTTCTAAGACTGATACAACCCTCGAGATCTAGTAAAACAAGACGTTCGAGGCTATTTATGGAAGGGTGAACCACATCCAGTTTTCCACAATTCCGTAAAATCAATCTTCGAAGATTTGGAACCTCTGAAAAATCAGGAGTCTCAACCAAGTGCTTTGATTCACTCACATCAATCTCCTTCAACTTCTCAAATTTCTGTTGCAAAACAGTAAAATTGCATCTATTCTGTCAGACAACCATTTTGCAGTGAAGATAAAACATTGGAGGTGAACTTAAAATATATAATTAGGAAACCAAATAATAAATTTAGCATTTACGCATACATACTAACCTTTCTTCCCTCCCAAAGTCGTTCAAGTTTACTACCGTGCAAGTGTAGTTCAAGTAGAGATGGTGGTTGAAAAGTTGATGGCAAACACTTTGAGGGATAGCCAGGCCAGTGGAGCAATCTCAATTGGTTTGACAGAAATTCAATGTCTTCAGAAAGTTCCACATTGTTAATTTGTAATATTTTTAACTCAGTCATATCTGTAAACGACTTGGCCTCCACTACTAATTCTTCTCCCTCCTCTAGGTCCATCACTATTCCTTGAATGTATTTCAGTTCCTAACGAAACAAAATATAATAGCAATAAAGGCCAAAATAGAATAATATTTAAGTATTGACCGATTAGTATTCATTTGATAAAAGAGACAAATGTAGAAATAGAGATAACCTTTTTTTTGTTTTTGGATGGTTGGAATTTAGGTGCTGATAGTTAGCACCCAGCCATCCAAATATTGCTCATCAAAATAATAGCAAATGTTATAAAGTTAACAATTTCCTTACACTTTTTTCATGAAAGACGCGGTGGGCATCTTCTCGAAGCCAAATCCTACTTTGTTTGCCTTGTTGAGTTGCCAGCACAATTCCTCGACCCATACAAAGAATCAAGTTATGCATTTGTATCCTCTCATCCGAAACATCAATAAGACATCTATCGACCAACAATTGTAGTTTAGTGTGGGGTGAACTATAACCAAAACTCTCAAGTATTTCAACCACCCTATCCACCTTCTCTCCATTGAAGAAACATGCACAATCCAGAAAAATCTGCTGGCTCTCTACTTCCAATCCCTCATAACTTGTCTTTAATATAGCAGAGAAAAGATTTTCGTAAACCAGTTTATGATAACTCTTCAATGCTCCTTCCCATATATCCATAGTTTGACCATATAGAGAGGATCCAATTTTTATCAAAGCCAATGGAAGTCTTCCGACTTTTTCGATGATCTCATTACAAAGATCCTTAAAAGTCTCATTAGGAGGTTCATCATCACCAAATGCATGCTTGCATAACAGCGAGTGGGCAGTTGTATCATGAAGTAACTCTACATTGTATTCTTGCACTTTATCTCTGTAGTTTGGATGATGAAAAATATCTTTATTTCTGGTTGTAATAATGACTCGACTCTTTCGACCGAACCAATAAGGATTTCCGGCTAACATTTTTAGTTGCATTTTCTCATGGATCCCATCAAGAACAATAAGAACCCTTTCAAATTTCAAATGTCTCTGAATCTTCCGTACTCCATCATTCTCGTTCAAAATGTGTATGTTGGTTTTCGACAAAAGAAGCTGAGAAAGTAGTTGTTGTTGCAATGAGACTAAATTGCAACCAGCAATGCGAAGGAAGCAAGACTTCATAAATTTTGGTGCAAGTTGGTCGTAAAAAAGTTCAGCGATGGTTGTCTTACCAATACCACCCATCCCTACTATCGCTACAAAACGTACGTCATTTGACTCTAAATTACCAAGAAGCATATTCATTCGACCCAGTCGAGGTGGCATTTCAACTAAATACCTGTTCTCAGCTACCAACTTAAGATGATGCAACATGTCTGATATCTGCTTTGTGATTCTCGAGATCCCTATCACTCCGCTGCAAGTTCAGACTATGTGAAATAATTATCAATGTTGGAATGTGCGAAATTAATTTTTAGGGTGGGTTGCAAATGTAGAAGGAAAAAAAATTGCAAATATACAACCACTTTTTTGATTTGCAAATTTAGCAAAAAGGAAGACTTCCGAACCAAAAAAAATGAAAGTCACTCGTACCCTTAAAATGGGCGGTTTGTTCTGAATGATGATAGGTATTGCATTGATATATATTTAGCATCAAATATACTTCATATTAGATATATTAGTTATTATTTCATATTAGGTATATTAGTTATATTAATTAATGGTATATCTTGATATACTTGATATGTCAATTAGGGGTGAAAGTTAGTCGGTTCGGGTCGGTTTCTGGGCAAAACTGACCTGACTTGAGACTATTTGGTTTCCGTTTGGGTCGGGTAAGCTCGAGTTGGTTCAGGTTTCAGGTTTTTTTTTTTTTTTAAAGATGAATTTGTTTTGATTTGGTCAAATTTAGAGAGAGTGAAATCATTCATCCAGCTCATAAATCAGATGAAAAATTAAAAACACTAAATCCCTTCTCAACGGGTCACCGTAGATTTATCGAGAGAAACTAGAGGGAGGTGAGTCGCCGCCATGGATTTATGGGTCGTCGTGCGCTGTCGTCGTGGGTTTGTGGTATCTCCGCCGCCATTGTTGAAGAGGGTTTTGGATCCTCGGCACCACCGTCGATTTATTCAACCGCCGTCATCGTGGGTTTGTTTCGTCGCCACGATATTTGCAGAGAGGGAGGGAGAAGAGGGAGGGAGAGAGCGTAGAGGGAGAGAGATCAAAGAGGAAGTGGAGGGAGAGAGAACGTAAAAGGGGAAGGGGAGGAAACTTAAAAGTAAATTAGGGCTTTGGTTTTCGATTTTAACCGACCCGAATTAATTTGTCATAATCGAATTTAACCGAACCGATATGTATCGGTTTGGTCTTGCGATTCGGTCAGGTTCTTTCACCCCTAACGTCAATAAGAAACCTATCATGTTAACCAAAATTTTCAATTCAAAGAAGATTTGTCAGTAATATACATGATAAGTTATCATTCATATACATAGGTATACTAGTTAAACGAATGATATACCTAGTGTAAAGTATATCACCATACTTGTATATAATTTTTTTGAAAAATAATAAGGCAAAATTGAAATAAAAGAAATAACAAAAAAAATGATATTAATAATTTTGTCATATTTATAAAATCAAAAAGTTCCTGCTAAATTTGCAAATATGGTAAATATTTTTGTTAACCATTTCAAATAGGACAGTTACAAATATGACAAAAACATTTAGAAAATTAGCAAAATAGCGACCACATTTAATTTTTTCAAATATAGAACTTTAAAAAAAATGGAGGTCAATTTTAAAATGATAACTTTACCAAAATGATATATATTTGTAATATATGTAATACCTGTAATATATTTGACAATTGAAATGAATATTTGTGTAATATGTATGTGATATTATATTTGATATACTACTGATATGAGTGTCTGATATAAATGAAATATGTATATGATATTACATATGATATACTACTGATATGAGTGTCTGATATACTTGCAATTTGTATGTGATATACATCTGATGTACTACTAATATAAATGTCTGGTACACTACTGATATGAGTGTTTGATATACTACTGATATAAGAACGAATGAGAAACAAAAATATTTTACTCCCAAGATCTAGAAAAATGAAAAAGGTAAAATTGGAATAATGAAACATTCCAAGAATTCTAATTTTTTTGCTATATTTGAAAATTTTAAAAAATCGATGACATATTTTGAAATATATAAAAGATTTTTGTTGCCCACTCAATTTTTTGGGGTAATTGCAAGGATGACAAAAAAAATTTAAGGAATAACAAATTTAGCATCTACATTTTAGTTTTGTAAATAGAGAGAAATTTTTGGAAAAAACGGAGGTACGACTAATAAAAGGCAAATTTACCTTGTAGTACTGTTATACTATTGGTATATACTTGACATATCTCAGATTTATTACTGATATATATATCATTGATATAATTATGTTATCTACTAATATAATTTCTTATATGATGATATTATTTACTATTTATTGATTTACCGATCGATATATGTATGATATATACTTGACATGTCTCTCATAGATCACTGATATAATATTGGTTTACAATTGATTTACTTATGATATAACTATGACATCTACTAATATAACTTCTAATATGGTTTACCACTGATATACGTATGATATATAACTATGATTTCCACTCGTGAAAGTTCTAATATGATTATTATTTACTATTAATTTACTTGATATAACACTTATATCTATGATATATACTTGATATGCCTCTAATTTACCATTGATATATAAATGATATAGCAATAATATAACTATGATATTACTCATATAAATTTTTATATGACCATATGATTTACCATTAATATAATATTGATATATCTGATATATATTTAATATGTCTCTAATTTACTATTGATATACCTTTAATATAACTATGATATCTACTGATATAACTACGTTATCTGTGTAATTCACTAATATCTTTAAAATAATGGTGCAAACAAAGAAAATGAAATCTAAAGTTCTTGTATAAAAGATTGATATGAAACATGAACGTAAAAAAAAAAAAGTTAAAAATCTTATACATTTTATAAATTTAAACCGTTTATATATCTTATATTTAATATCTATTTAATATTAATATAGATTAAATAGTAGTGATATAACAATCAAAATGATTGATAATATTAATATATCAATCAAAATCGTAGTGATAAACTACAATTTAAAAAGCTGATATACCATTGAAATTTGAACATTTGATATACTTTATATTTATTATATCAATTACAAATATATTTAGTATACATAAATTAGAGGTACATGAGATATATATTAGATGTATGATACGTACATCTGATGTATATTCGTGGTACATCATATGTATATTATATCAGTTACAAATATTGAATATATCTAAGATTCGAAACGTCGATGTCAACAGAAATGTCGAGGTTATGATTTTAGGGACATTTCGAGGTCAATAGATATTTGGGGAAAAGTCACGGAAATTGTGAAAATTAATAAAAATTGTTTTAATTAGTAAATAAAATTTTAATTGTAGCTTAATTAAATTATAATCGAGCACTTCTAACTATCATATGTCAAAGTATGAATATGAAAATGTCAATGTCGATAGAAATGTTGGAACAAGATAATGAAGATTAATGGAAATAGTTTGAATTTATAAATTGAAGTTCAATATTGCTTAATTATATTTTATTGATAAAAATTGATTATTTATAACTAAATCTAGTGTTTAGTTAGATAATTGAATAAGATATGAAATATTGATATATGTACGACTACCAACATGTACAATTATTAAAAATAAAAGGGTAGGTTTAAAATTTTTTTAGTTAAACTTGAAAAAAAATGAAAAAATTCAACTGCAATAAAAATAGGTCAATGGCAAAAATTGAAATAAATAGATAAATTTAAATAATAATAATAATAATWATWATWATTATTATTATTATTATTAGGATAAGAAAAATGAAAAAGAAAAAGAAAGAAAATTTTTTTTGAGGCACATCCCATTCCCAAATCCCACATCGAAATGGATTCAGGGGAGAGGGAGCGCCTCCTATAAAATGCGCTCCCCTCGCCTCAATTAGCTCATCCATCTATTTGGGCACTTAGATTGAATCTGTTATTTGGGCCCGACCATCGACTTTCACCCATGTGTCGATATTGAGGCCTTCCACACGTCAACGTGTCAGATGTCATAAGGGTAATATTTTCCCAAGGTTGATATTTTTATAAATTTTTATAAAAATTTAGCTATCCAATGTAATTTTCCTGAAATTATATGCATGAAATTATGAAGTGAACAAATTAATTATAAGATGATAAATTTTGGAGATGGTGTTCATTTTGCCTGTTTGGAATAGATCCTCAAGGAAAAGTTGATGCAGCTCTAAAGTAAACATGCATTAAAGATTCTTGTAATTCACCTTACTAATTTTGTCGCCGGCCCGGAGAGATTGGCAATTTTAGTCAGAGCGTCCCTCCATCGTTCAATCTCCTTCAAGTGTTTTTCGTTTTGCTCATTGTCCATGAGTTCTTGAGCACTTTTTTCGTATTCATCGAAACTTTTCTTCAAATTCCCAGATTGATGTCGAACATGAATAGGATCAACATCTTTAAACACAGGAAGGACCAGGTGTGTCGTATTTTCCATGTGATCTATTATCTTAGCCAACTCTTTTAAACACGACTTGGAAGAAGCATAGTGCTTTGATAAAACAACGACTGAACACATTGATCCTTCGATTGCTTCCACAATCTTTTTGCTAAGATTATCCTCAAACGAGAGCTTGGTCTTATCTTCCATAAAAATTCTTATTCTCAATCGACTACGCAAAGACCGGCATAGATTCGCAGTAAAAAGTTCGTATTCCTTGCTGAAACTTAAGAAAACATCAAAACTCATCTGTGGAGGATGGGACAATGATTCTTCCATGCCTGTACCAATCTCAAAATGAAAAATAATGAGTTTGAGAAATATGGAATATGGATGTTTACATGCTCTCTCCCAAGTCAGACCCCGAAATACAACTAATATAAATCCACCATCTCTATTTTCTATTGAGAACGTGTTACACGTTGTTGCTATTATATTTATATTATCAATTATTTACAAGATTCCAAGTCAAAATTAATTAATTGGTAATAAGAGTAATAGTTCATATATATCTTATAAACCTTATTAGATTTCTTGATCTTTTCGATGTAGGATCTATTATAGGGAGAAAATAGAGATCAGACTAAACAACCGAAAAGAGGAAAGAGAGTCGAAGAAGGAGTGGACCTGAAGAGAGGTAAGTGGGTCGGAGCCCAATAACCCGGGCCGGCGGGTTGGCGCCGAGCACTACTCGGCGTCGAGGAGTTGTTGGCCTAGTGGCCGAGAACCTCTCCGATGTGCCCCGACCCCCGCACAGCCCGATCCAAGTCGACTTGGTTCCGACCCTGAATGCAGCATGAGGCCCACTCCGTCTAAGATCTCCTGAGTTCAGATTAGGGTTCAATTGAGGTAAATCCTGAAGGGATTAGGATTCGACCCCTATAAATACAAGAGTAAGCTAAACCCTAAAGGTATGTCTAGAAACTCTACTCTCTGTACTCGACTACTCCTATACTAACTTAAGCATCGGATTCCGTGTGGCAAAAGACATACTGATCTTAGCGTTATTCTATTTTGCAGGTCTCATCGATTCCTTTATTTTAAAAAATTGGTACGAATTTGGCGAGATCCCAAGAACATCAGCAGGATCCTTAGCCTATCTTTATAAAGGGCAGGAAATAACTATAATGTATAATCTAACCATAGAAGACTTTTAATAAATATTAGACTTGTTAATAGATTAGTTTAACAAGTAGTTAGTTTGTGATATTATTTGTGTGATACAGCTGTACTTTGGTACTTTGGTGTTACTATATATATGGTCCACTTGTTATTAAATAAAGTTGATGGAAGAATTTAACTTACTCCCTGTATTCAATAATAAAATGTCTATGATGATAAGTTTTACTTCACTTTAATGTTAAATATTCCTTTGAAACATGTTTTTTTATTTTATTTTATTTGAGTATTCACATCTAAAAGTCTTTGATGTCTCGATCATTAGTCTATTATTTTGAGAAAGTAATGGTTAGAGATTGATATATATTTTATTGATTTTTTTTTTTTATTTCCAGAGACGGCTTAAAGATTATAAGCCGATTTAGTCCCTATAGTTTTTGCATAGATTTGTCTTTAAAGTTTTAAAAGCTTCTAAGTTAGTCTAAAACTCACATGTTTTCTTTTACTTTTATTTCCACTAACGGTAAACTTTGATATAGTCAGTTAACCCAATTAGTAAAATAGAAAATATCAGTGGCAATAAAATATGTGCTAATATAGTAATGTCATGGATAACTCGTAATGTTTTGACTAAACAATAGGGAATGAATTAAGAATTTTAAACCACGGGGACCAAATTGAAGATATATCATTAACAATAAGGACTAAATTGAAACTTCCTCGACTATTCACAATCCTAGGTAGGTGGCCACCATTTTCTCTAAGTTCTTTTACTATTTACCTACCTTTATCGACCACTAGGTCATCCCATGATGGTTTAAATTATATCTAATCATATAAATCCAATTTTTCATTTAACATTTTTCATACTTTCTTAGGTGAAAAAAAATTCTATGTATTAAATTTCGATAATATAATTTTATTAAAATGATTTTTTAGCCATCATGTTGGTCTATTAATCTAGATAGGAAGGGAAATTCAGAATAATAATTTAAATATTTGACTGATTATCCTATATTGTATAATTACATTTATAATATATAAAAAATAAAATAAATATATATATTGTTATTCATATATATTATGTAAAAAAGACAGGCCTTACTATTGCTGAAAAAAAAAAGATAAGCTTTCGAAAATGGGGTTGCCTATACCTTAAGATCTGTTTGCTTCTTTAGTACCATATTCTTAAAATGGTTCATTAGTCTAGTGCCATATTCTTACGAATATTATTAAAATACGTATTTTTATTTTATAAATATCCATGAATGATGGATTAGTGGCTATATGCATCATTGAAAATTTAGGGTTATCAGGTTGATTTGCTAACTTATTTCTTGTTTCTAACTTTAAAAATTTGAGAATTATTTATTTGTTTCTCATTATTTAGAAATATAATCTCAAAGTTGTCTACAAATTTTAGAAAAAACGAAAAATAAATTTCTTGTTCTTTGTTCCAAAAGATAAATAAAAATGTTATTTATCATTTTTGAACCTATGAATGTTAGTATCATACCATTCATTTTTTATTATTATTATTATTAAAAATGAGAAAATAGAAAGATGAAACGAAAACATTATTAAAGAGTTGAATTATGCTATTTTTTGTAGAGTGTCTTTTCTTTCTTTTTTTTCTTTTTTTTTTTTAAATTTAACAAATGGGAGTTGGGGATTCGAACTCATRACTTCTTACTCTTGAACTAAGCTAACGCCTAACGTTGACAAGTAATTTTCCAATAATATTTGAAAGACTTTTGTAAGATTATTAAGACAAATGGCCTCGCTTTATGTTAATTTATTTGGAAGATATATTTTTTATTTGAGCTCAGTCAAAGTCATTAATGAAATCATGCCTGGGTTGTCCGAGTCGCCTGTTACGAAGTAAACGCTAAGAATTGGACTTTAAATAATATTTCAATTATTTTTTTAGAGAAAAGATAAATAAATATATTCGTTTAAAAAAAGAATTAAATAAATATTATACTGGTATGGGTAGAATTGCTTTACCAAAAAGTGTTTGTGAAATAAGACTATTTCGGTTACTTTTAGAAGAATTACTAATTTAGAATGTGTGAGTATATTTGATAGTAATTTTGGATCATTTTTACTTAGAGACGGATCCGAAGAATTACTAATTTAGAATGTGTGAGGTATATTTGGTAGTGATTTTGGATCATTTTGACTCAGAGACGGATCCACATAAAGACTTTGATTAAATTACATATATTGTATTATTTGAAGAATAAAACTGTCTTTGGTCTATTGGCTTCCTAAATCCCGTGAAATTGTGCCCCCACCTTTGAACCTTTGAGTCTTGAGTTCAAATGTTGAGGTAAATATTTTGAAAATACGTATTTTTATTTAAAAGAAATTCAGGCTTAACATCGATAATTAGAGTAAATAGTCAAGAGGAAACGAGACATGAAGCTGGCTCCGCCCACAGTGCCATGGCGCTACCTTGTGGTGCCCTTTGGGGGATCTTTTTACCGACCTTAAGGAGAGAAAATGATATAGCTCGAAAATAAAGGGAAAAGGAGCATAAAGGAGCTTGGAGAAGAGATTTTCAAGGCTCGAAATCGTGGAGGTTGACTCGAGAATAATAAATCGACACAACGGATTTAGTTAATTTCTTTTCCCTTCATTTTCGTAGTTATTTGTTATGTAACTTTGTTTAAGATTTTGTTGTTTTATATTGAATATGAGTAGTTAAACCTTCTGTCTTAGGGATTGATGTAGCCATTGGACTTTATAGATTGATTGCTTAATTCTCTTGATTGAATGATTATGAATATTTTATTTATGTTTCTCTATATTTAATACCTTTAATATGTTGGGCCATAGATTAATTGATATTAGACTTAAAGTCTTACACTTGGGAGAAATGATTTAGAGTTAGAATTGGGATGCATAGCTAAAGAGGTTTTAAGATAAGGAGATCGATTTAGAAGTCATTTAGACGTCGTTAATAGACTTACTCATTAAATTCATTGCTTGTTTATTGAAACTAGATATAAATATTGGTTTCTTAATCAGTAAAGAGAATTAACTTGCGGTCGGGAGAGACAGTTGAGATTGGAGAGTTTGACTTATAGAATTAATAGTTCTTTCTGTCTTGAGTAATTAAGTAATTGGTTCATATATTAAATAGGTAAAATCAATTCCTTAGAACCTTTCTTTCTCTTAAGTTTCTCTTTATTATTGCATGTTTAATTTGCTTTGATTCTATTCTCTCATTCGATTTTGACTTTAAATAAAATTTAGTGTTTGTATCTATGGTATTTGAATGGATTAGAAACCCAATCTAGAGGACAACATCAGTATTGACTTACTACTTTGATTAGAACTTGACACATACACTTGCAATAAACAATTTTTGCTATAAGTTTTTGACCCTGTTGTTTGGGATTACCAATTATTTAGTTTCGCTTGATATCATGGAGAACTTGCTTGGTCTTAATTTAGAGTTTATTTTTTTCTTTTGTATATATTATCTTTATCTTGATTTATTTTATTATTTTTGTTTTGTGTATTGTTTTCCTGGTTATTTTGATGAGTGGTGTATACCCTTATGTGAATGCCTGAATAAATCATGTCTTTTTATACTTAGGAGTGACCTTATGATAAGTCTTTGACGACCCAAATGCCACCACCATCATTCAATTCTTATTCTTCAATTTATCTCTCTTATGAATCATGTGAGTTTTTATATCAATTATGGTTCGTTTCAGGAAAACCAATTACCCAGGGCCCGTTTGATAACCATTTTAGTTTTTAGATTTTGGTTTTTCTTGTTTTTAGTTTTTGGTTTTTGGTTTTCTGTCTTTAAAAAACAAAAACCATATATGTTTGATAACCATTTTTTGGTTTTAGAAAATTGAAAATACATATTAGAGAGAGAAAATTTTATTTAGACTAGAGATGACAATGGTGTGGGTGCGAGTGAGGATGCTCTCCCCCATTCTCGGGCTCGTGAAAATTTTTAGTCTTCGTCTCCACTTCGTTCTTGGGTCCGAGAGATGTTATCGAGAAAAATTATCTGTTTTATAATTGTTTTTAATTATTTTTAGAATTTAAGTATAAAAAAATGTGATAAATATATATTAATTATTTACAAAATGGAATCGGGGACAGGGACGGGGTCGGGACATGCATTTTCTATTTTTGGGACCCGACCGTGTGGAAATTTTTGTCTTCCCCTAAGAGACATGAAAATAGAGATGTAAATAAAATAAATTTTAGAGAGATAAATAAAAATATTTAGAAA